AGGCCAGACAAGGAATAATGGATGGAAACTGAACAAAGAGAGATTTAACCTGGAAACAAGGAGAAACTTTCTGACAGTGAGAACAATCATCCAATGGAACAGTTTGCCCTCAGAAGTTGTGGGAGCGCCATCATTTGAGACTTTCAAGAAGAGATTGGACTGCCATTTGTCAGAAATGGTGTAGGGTCTCCCACTTGGGCGGGGGGTTGGACTAGATGACCTCCAAGATCCCTTCCAACTCTGGTTATCTGTTATCTGCTCAATAGAATTAAAAGGCAGAAGGCATGTTAAATGCCAGAATAATAGGACTAGTAATGCTTCCTTTACTGCTGTGCTTGGTATAACTGTAAAGGAAACCATTGTTACTGGAAAAAAATGAAAGGTGAGAGTTCTATATATGTCATATGAAGGGTCTCACCAAGGAACTCTAAATTCTCACAGAAAAACATCCAGTTTTTCTGTAGGATTTTAAAATTAATTGCTTATTCAAATTCTTACAGTTGAAGACAAAAATCAGTGATAAATTACATTCTTTTCAGAAAGAAGATTCTTTCTGAAGGAAAGAAGGAAGGAGAAGGGAAAAACAGTTTAGCAAATTAAATTTTAAAAAAGAGAAGGTGGGAGGGGTGTAAAAGGATTTCCTGAGATCTTGGACAGCTACTATCAATCAGAGAAAACAGGACTGGGTAGGATGGACCAATGCCCATGCTTCAGGATAAGGCAGTCTCCACACTTTTATATGGAATCCCCACAACTCAAGATATGGTAACTCCTGTTTATGTCTCTCCACTATCAAATTGCCCAAAGATAATGATGAAGAGAGTAAACAATAAGAAATACTCTACGATATCCAGTTCAATTTTTTGAAACAATTGTCCATTTCCAGCCATACTGCATTAGTTATACAGACCTATTGCCAAGGAAGTTCTAGATAAAGCTTTTATTATACCATCCTTCTATCTTACAGGGTCTGCTCGATAGTATTTTTCACTTAACAAAACAGAATAACAGAATTAGAAGGGACCTTGGAGGTCTTTTAGTCCAACCCCTGCTCAAGTAGGAGACCCTACCATTCCAGAAAAAAAGGCTGTCCAGTCTCTTTAAAATCCTCCAGTGATGGAGCACCCACAATTTCTAAAGGCAAGCAGTTCTGTTAGTTAATTGGTCTCACTGTTAGGAAATTTCTTCTTAATTTTAGGTTTCTTCTCTCCTTGATTAGTCTCCATCCATTATTTCTTGTCTTGTCTTCTGGTGCTTTGGAGAATAAGTTAACCCTACCTTCTTTGTGGCAGCCCCTCAAATATTGGAACACTGATATCATGTTACTTCTAGTCCTTCTTTTCAGTAGACTAGACACTCAATTCCTGCAACTTTCTTCATATATTTTAGCCTCAGTCAGTGATGGGAGTCAATTTTTTTTACTACTGGTTCTGTGGGTGTGGCTTGGTGGGCATGGCAAAGGAAGGATACTGTAAAATCTCCAGCCAGAGGTAGCATTTGCCAGTTCTCCAAACTACTCAAAATTTCTGCTACCAGTTCTCCAGGACTGGTCAGAACCTGCTGAATACTTCTTCTGTCCTCAGCCCCCTGATCATCTTTGTTGCTCTTCTTTGTACTCTTTCCAAAGTCTTTACATCTTTTTTATCATATGATGACCAAAACTTGATGCAGTATTCTAAGTGTGGTGTTACTAAGGCTTTATAAAGAGATACTAATGCTGTTATATCAAGACAGTAAAAGAATTGAAATGGAAATCAGTGGTCACATAGCAAGATGAATTGATGGCAGGTGGACCAAAGCAATCATAGAATGGATCCCACTAGATAAAAAGCATCCATGGATGGATTGACGACATTAGCAAGGTCCAATTGGCAAAAGAAAGCTCAAGACCGCATAAGCGGCCATCATCCTGCAGTGAATAGACAATGGCTAAAATGATGATGACAGCTATTCATATAAGCTTGATTCAGGGGTGGGATTCTACTGGTTCACACCTATTTGCTAGAACTGGCTATTAACTTTCTAAGCAGTTCAGAGAACCGGATGTTAGAAGAAATCTCCTTTTGTTTTTTTCTACTTTACATGCCCAATTCTGTAAGGAAAGCATTCCTTACATTCTGGTGTTGTTGCTTACAAAAACTGCATCTCCGTTAACCCTTATTACATTCTCGGCAGGAGTAGACTTCCTGTCTCTGAAGCTTCTCTGGAAGTTTTTTTTTTTATCCTTTGCTGGTACTTTGCTTGTGTGAAGCCCGAAATTGACATATGTGTAGCCATTTCACTTGGAAATCTGACAGCTTGACTTTCTTAAGGGGAAAGGATTGTTTTAAGCTTTTTACACTGCTGTTAGGAGGAAATACTCCCCTTTTGGAGTTAGCACTTTGAAGAAATAATTGAATAACGAAGCAGAGCTGCCAGAAAGAAGCTTTTAATGACAAGGAACCAAGATGAGTGACATTCAGCAAGGCTTCTTGGCTAGCTAGAAAGATTGACATTCAAACATGAATTTACATACCCTTTCTGAGTTTTGGTCTAAAACTGGTTTTTGGTGAAGTTTAATTCTGTGCTTGGTGACGTTTAATCCTGTGTTTATTGATGGGATAATTTTCCCTATTCAGCTTTGTTTGGAAAGAAAAAAGGTTAATCTCTGTTCCTGGAAAGAAACTGGCTTGAGAAATCTGGCTAGTTCCTGTGTCTATTTGTTCTGATAATTGTTTTAACAAGCAAAAACTACCATTGTGATTTAATTATTTCTATTGTGTCTGAATTTTTTCCTGCCTCATGGGTTTTTTTTATCTGGGAAGGGGGTCTTCCTTCACTGCTTTAATGGTTTCTGGCACTGTCCTTTTAGGGTGTACTTCCAAGAGGCAGGATGCAAGCTTGGCACTGATGTTTTTTACTGCCTTTCTGGGGGGCATGTGGCCTTTCCTTAAATCTGGACAATTTCCTTAGGATATCTTGTGAGGTGAGTGAGACCAGCTGGTATCTTTAAATGGTGCAAATGGATCTAAGGATTGCTTCTCTTGGGTGTGCTCTTTCTGGAGAGCTTAAATGACCTCTGTGCTAAAGGGTTTCTCTTTATGGGTAAGAGTTGGCTGCTGATAGTTATCATTGCACTTCAACTATTTTAATTTCTCAAGGTGTTCTGGCACCCTGCCTGATTTGTAACTCTGGCTTGCAGGTATTTTTAATCTAATGATTGGTATTTAGAGCAGCTTTTTGCAAGCAAAGAAGCTTTTTGTATTTTTGTACAGGTAATCCTTGACTTACAAGGGTTCATTTAGTGACCATTCAAAGTTACAATGGCACTGAAAAAAGTGACATGACCGTTTTTCACACTTACGACCATTACAGCATTCCCACTGTCATGAAAGGCCAGGCGAGGAGAAGCACCCCTCAATGTGAGTGATGTTGGATTGGCCACACCAGTCAGATGACCATCAAGTCACA